CAAGGATGTTTATGCAAATTTTGGTGATTGGCTGGAAATCAATGCCCAGACACCCAAAGATGTATTTGATACGTGCTTTTTTGGTTACGACTCCCACCATTTGGTCGTCGGTATCAATACCGGCCACGTATTGGTATATAAATCTGCCGATAGATCCCAGACTGAAGTGATTGAATGAGTTCATCCCGGGGTCCATAAACCCCTTGTCCTCAGTCCAGGTATCCCAGTGCTCCCACATTGCGGTGGCGTTATGTGCTATTTCATACCCCCACGAGGGAAATGAATCTTGTAATAGCAGTCGATATGCAACATCCCGGTGCCCATACTTTACCAGAACCTCATTCACAAAACCCACACCTTATAAAAAATAAAAATAAGAATTAATTTCTGATAAAATTGTTATGATTATGAAATTACTGATAAACCCATTGGTGTAGTGGTAGTCGTGGGCCTTAATATTGTCGACCAAATGGTTGACCGCAAATGGTCTCAGGTTTTGGGGTAAGAGCTCGAAGGCCAGGGCTAACACATACACGGCTTGAGTATCGCCTTTGATTTTGCCGTCAGTTGTGTTGACAAATGCTTTTGTGAAGGCATTGGAGATATTTGTATGCAATTCAGTGTAAAGCTTCATGTCATCCGTGCGGTTGAGAGCACCGGCCATTTGGGTCATAAGTAGGGAGTCGTAACCAAAAAAGCACGTATCAAATACATCTTTGGGTGTCTGGGCATTGATTTCCAGCCAATCACCAAAATTTGCATAAACATCCTTGGTCCAGACATAATCAGGATTTGATTTGTGTATGAATTCAATCCACGTTTTCATCGACTCGTAACTGACTTCCAGTATCTGTTTGTCTCCAAACATACGCCATATATGATAGGGCACTATAACGCCCGCATCACCCCATGCCGGCGCCCCATCATCCGTAGCCACCAGTCTGGGCGCCACGTTTGAGAAGTGGCCGCCATTACGACGGGCTTCCCTCACATCCCGCAACCATTTGCTATAAATGGCCGAAACGTCGGCGTTATAACTGGCCGTATGAACGATGGCTGCGTTGTCACCCGTCCAGCCCAGGCGCTCATCCCGGGAGCAGATGTGAGGTATGGACCATATATTCCCCTTTTGACTCCACAACACGTTTAGCCACAAACGGTTCAGGAGATTGTTGTCTGATTCAAAATGTCCAGTGAATGGAGTGTCCGTATGGGCGACACGACCCACAAAGTCAGTCAACTTGGGTTCACCGGGAAAGCCGGTCACCTCTATGTAGCGAAAGCCATGGTATGTAAAGTGGGGCTCAAGCATAAAGCCAGACGAACCCGAGTCTGTACTCATATGAAAATAAATACATTAAGAATAGGATATATTTGGACAATAAGTGGCTATACCTTCAATAACATAAGTATCAATGGAACGGGCGGTTCGGTAGTTGAGTGTATAGAGAGTGCCGTTAGGATTGATAGCTTCGGAGTGTCTTAACTGTATTCTCAAAGATTTCTGATTCTTAGGGACTTTGATCCCAACCCATCCAACCATTATCTGCTCAAAGTCTAAGACCCAGACCCCGGGACTAATTTGTCTCTTAGTTTTAGGGGTTAATTCTTCGGTCACTCGTATTGGTTGAGCCCTGTCTGCGATGAGATCCACTTTCTTGTCAATAGGTTTGGTCACAACTGCTGTCCATTGGATGTCATCTCTTTGACTGATTTCTCTGTTTTGATAATACAGTTCTCCCATAATTAAGTCAGAATATATTATGGCACCGGTAGTCACTTTCCATGTGTTGTCTGATTTAATAACTAATGTTTTATTGTTTTCATAAGTTATGTGTAATTCAATTA